CTTAAATGTCCCTAACAAAAGAGCAATTAGACTGGCAGCTGACTGAAGGGGGCGGAGAGACAGAAAATAACCGAGCCCTGTCTTCAAAGTACACAAAGGAGACCACTAGGCATCAAACTGCCCTGCAAAGCCCCCTGAAGAAGGGAGGTGATAGACGGACTTCTTCCAATCAACAGGAGTTTGAAGAACTTATTACCAAAGCGCTTTCAATCAAAGGGATTTATAAATCATATTTATTCCAGAAGGAAAGTCTGGGACACACAAAAAGATCATGAACAAAGAAATTGGTAAATATGTGGGCAAATTATTTTAAGAATATATCAGTACGGGGGCCGGCACTGTGGCGTAGCAGGTAAAGCCGCCGCCGCCTGCAGCGCCGGCATCCCATGTTGGAGCTGGTTTGAGCCTGGTTGCTCCACTTCCGATCCAGCTCCCTGCTGTGGCCTGGGAAAGCAGTGGAAGATGGCCCAAGTGCTTGGGTCCCTGCACCCACGTGGGAGACCCAGAAGAAGCTCCTGGCTCCTGGCTTCAGATCGGCCCAGCTCTGGCCATTGCAGCCATTTGGGGAGTGAACCAGTGGATGGAAGACTCTCTGACTCTCTCTCTCTCTGCCTCTGTAACTCTGCCTTTCAAAAAAATAAATAAATTTTTTAAATATATTGATAGAGAATCTTTTTTAAATATATTGATAGAGAATAATCAGGCTGATAATGTCTAAATTACGATTCTTTTAAGATTTGTTTATTTGAAAGGCAGAGTTGGAGAGAGAAAGAGATAAAGAGAGAGGTCTTCCATCCATGGTTCACTCCCCAGATGGGAGTGACTAAGCCCACGGTGCCACAATGCCGGCCCCATTGGTGGTTTTTTTAAAAACAGGCCTCAGACACTGGACACAGTAGCAGGAGACCAATGAGTGCGATCAGAGTTAATATGTTTTATGTAATTCTTACTGTTTAGGACAGGACATTCACGTATCAGTTAACTCTAGGTGGTTAATTAAACACGTGTAGTAAGTTTCCAAGGGTTCCAAGAACCACAGCCTGCAGCAGAATCCCTGAAGGTGCTGGGCCTACGCCCCCACCTCTGCTCCAGGGCTCCCAGGATGCTCACGTCTAACCAATCCCCAGCTGGGTCTGATGCTGCTGGCCCAGCGGCGACGCCGTGTGAGCGAGTGCACCAAAAACAAGGAAGTAGAGAGCTCAACTTCCACTCCAGAGGGGAAAAATGGAATGAGAAAAGGAACATTTATAAAAAAAAATCTTTAAAATCTCCTTCCATCTAAAACAGCTCCATCCAGTAGAAATGTACACACGCCACGTGTAACACAACTTTTAGAACTTGCAGTAACCACATTTAAAAAAGCAACATGCCCATAATATTATTTTACTATGTGATCAATCTTGGATCCTACCAGATACAAAAGTTACTATTGAGACATGATACATTTTTTGGTATTCATACTGTTAAAAATCAGTGCTTTGTGCCCAAGGCATTTTGCAAATCAAGGTAGCCACATTGCAATGCCCAGGAGGTACCGTGGCCTGCAGCCATCATGGTGGACAGAGCAGCTCTGGGCCGTCTGTGACACGAGCCTGAGGAGGACACAGGCACCCACCCTTCTCTGAGTGTTCCCAGCCCACCAGCCACGGGCCTGAGCGCCTCCCACGCGCCATCTCATCATGGCGTAAGATTTGGTGTTGTTGCTGTCCCCCTGGCACAGGTGAGGAACTGAGAACACATTCCCAAGGTCACTTGGCTGGGAACCAGCAGGCCTGGGAGCCAAGCCCAGGTCCCTTGTAATCGACGGCCAACCTCGGAATCTCCAGGCATGGGCTTTCTGTCTCTTTTAAAGATTATTTATGTACTTGAAAGACACGGTTACTGAAAGAGAGAGAGAGAGAGAGAGAGGTCTTCCATCTGCTGGTTCACTCCCCAAATGGCTGCAATGGCAAGGGATGTGCCAAGCCAAAGCCAGGAGCCAGAAGCTTCTTCAAGGTCTCCCGTGTGGGTGCAGGTGCAAAGCCTAAGGACTTGGGCCACCTTCCGCTGCCTTCCCAGGTGCGTTACCAGGGAGCTGGATGGGAAGTGAAGCAACTGGGAATTGAACCGGCACCCATATGGGATGCCGGCACTGTAGGCCGGGGCTTTAACCTGCTGCACCACAGCGCCAGCCCCTTCAGGCCTTCTCATGACTAGTGACACCCCGATAGCCAGGCTCAGTGGTTCAGCACTAATACAGCATGGTGTCTGCATGTGCTACGTGTGTGCGTGCATGTGTGCATGTGTGTGTGCGTGTGTGTGCATGTGTGGAAGCAGGTGGGGCAATGTGGTGCCTCTGTCTGCTAAGTTCCCACAGTCCTGTGGGCATGTACAAGGTGGTTCCTGGAGTCTCTCTACCCTGCAGGTTCTCCTCTCTCTCTCTCCCTCTCTCTCTTTCTCTCTCTTTCTCTCTCTCTCTCTCTGAGTGGCCAAACAATGCCCAAGCCCCAGGGGAGGGGCCCTGTATGCCCACTAACAGCCCCCCTTGACTGAGGGCCTGCGGTGGCTCCCCGTTCAGACTGAGTAATATTCGGATCAACCTAGGAGGTAGAGTAGCATTATACCCATTCTGTAGATGGAAAAACGGAGTCTGCAGAATCCACGACCTAGGTCTGTACAGCTCCAAAGCCCGGTCTAAATGCATGGCAAGGACCTCATGTCTGGGGGTTGGGTGCTCTCATTTGACCTTGCGTCGCCTCTCATCTCAGAAGCAAGTCACAGAGGTAGGGCTCAGCGACAGTGAGAAGACAGGGGAAGCCAGCCAAGCTGAAGCTGCCCAGGGGCTGCTCAGGTCTCTCCAAGCCTGGGGAGGCCTGGACCGCCCCAGCAGGCTGAGCCACTGTTCCCTGGGAGCCTGACTCCGCACGGGGGCACTGGGCCCCTGTCCCTGGCCGGGCAGCCCTCTCCCCGGGAGAAACCTGGGTTACAGAGGCAGCTGCTGCTGCCCTCTGGTTCTCCCAGGCACAGCGCAGCCCTGTGCTCCAGCCGGCCACGCCCCCAGGACCCAGTGAGACCTGTGACCCAGCCAAGAAGGGACATGCAGTAACACGGGCAGTGGCCTGTCCAGGCGCAGCCAGCCTCAGCACACTCACTGCCACTAAGTCTCCACTCTACAGAGGGGGAGACTGAGGCACAGGCGGGGGGGGCATGGGGAGACGGACTGAGATGGGAGTGTGTGGTTCCCCCGAGCCGTGCAGCCACCTTCAGAGGGCCCTCCGAGAGTTTAGGCTGGGAAGGGCAGGAGCTTTGCCACTGGACACAGTAAGATTTCTGGCCTTGGCTTTTTCAGTCTCAAACCTAAACCCTCATCTGAAGATCTAGACTCCACAGTCCCTCCAAAGCCGGAAACTTGCTGAACACAGCCAGGCTAGAAAAGTCCACATTGTGAAACTTTGCTTCATTCACAAAACTGTTAGAAATATTGCATAAGATTTCCAGTTTTGTGTGTAAGATATTATGGGATACAAATGAATTTAATATTTAAACTGGGGTCCATCCCCAAGGTAGCTCATTATGCATATGCAAATATTCCAAAATTTAAAAAAAGTGAAACACTTCCGGTCTCAAACATTTCAATGAGGATTACTTCACCTGCAGAGTCCATGTAGACAACTCAGGAGTCAAAAGCGTGCACGCTCAGATTCTCTTGCACACTCATCCACACGCGTTCACACACGTGCACGCTGACCCCCTCGCCCTTTCCAGAGACTTTTCCCACGGGTCCACCTAATTAGGAATCTGTGCTATTTGTATTCATGGACACATAGTTGTACACGTTTTATGTGCGTATAATTTTAGTGGGGGCGACACTGGACCTCCTGTTCTGCCCCTTTTCACTCGGCTATGGACAGTGCCTGCTTTCCCACACCAAAAAAAAAAGACTCTCCCGGGACCTTTTCTTGGCAATGGCGCGTCACTCACCCTGGTGAACATTAAATTCTTGCCACTTACACCCTTCCCAGCGTTAAGTTTTCCAATTTCTTCTTTATGAAACGGTACATATCTATTCCGGGATTTTGAGGCTGCGTGAAGATGTAGCAAGGAGAAACACTGCTCTCGGGAGTCAGTGTCCAAGCACACGTGTCTGGTTCTAGCCAGGCGCCCTCCCGGTGTCGGTGCATAAGCATCTGTGACATCGTTGGGATGACTTACACCTCACGGTGGCCACCGCGTCATTCCAATCAGGCTCCTGGCGCAACACGTGGCGTTGCTCGCGGAGTGGAATTTGCCCGTTCGGTTTAACTCTGTTTTCGAGAGCCTGCGCAGACTGAACGCTGCAGGTTCACAGGTGTTGATGGTGACCCTGGAAGGAGAATGGGTGGGAAACGGGGCCGGGGGGGAGGGGTGGCCGCGTCCTGTTTGCGAGGGCCGCTGCCCAAGTCACGTTCCAGGTGATGGGAAATGGAACTGGGGCTCCACGCATGCTAAGAAATCCCCGGGTGGCCCAAAGATGATTCCTGCTCCGTGCTCACCTTGGGGAAAAGTGGGAAAGGACCCCCAGGTGTGTCAGTAGCAGGCAGGTGGAGCGAATTACAGGGCACCCGTTAGAGGAGCCCGGGCAGCCTGCAGGTACTGGGCTCCCGAGAGGCGGCCACCCGCCACCTAAGGGAGAGGGCGGCTTCAGGGCGCGTGCAGTATGTGAGCGCGTGGGGCTGTGCGTTTGTGGCCGTGAGTGTTTGCTGCTGTCTCGAGCTGACATTATTCAATATTTCAATCCCTCCCTGGAAGAAGTTGGTTCTTTTCCTTAGAAGCGGTAGAGATTGCTTTTGCAATGGGGAGAGAGGCGGCAAAAGAAAACAACAAGCCATTTTGACTTTGAAGAGCAGAGATGCGTGATGGGGGTGGGGCAGGAAGCCATCCTGGGCTCCTCCTGCGGCCACGGGCACAGCCTCCCCTGCCCCTGCCCTCCTGCCCTAGCTGCTCCCCCCCCCCCAGCACACGTGTGTGCTTGTGTGTTGCAGACTCGGACAGCCAGTGCAGCCCCACGCGGCAGAGCCTCAGCCTGTCGGAGGGCGAGGAGCAGACGGACCGCCTGCAGCACGTGGAGCTGGTCAGGACCACGCCCATGTCCCACTGGAAGGCTGGCACCGTGCAGGCCTGGCTGGAGGTGGTCATGGCCATGCCCATGTACGTCAAGGCCTGTGCAGAGAACGTGAAGAGCGGGAAGGTAGGTGGCTCCGGCCGCGGTGGGACGCCCCCCATGCACCTTCCTCACCCCTACGCTGGGCGCAAGCTGGGAGGTTGGGCACTGATGTTCCCAAAACATCATTATGTCCTAGCAAGGCTCACAGCCCTTCTGGGCCGCCGCCGCATCACCTGTGACATGGGGCCAGCCCCCTACCTGGCTGGGGCGGGGGGACAGGCTCTTCCGGCCTGGTCGGGGATTCCGCCCGACCTCATGGGGCACAGATGGGCTGATCAGGGATATGCCCTGACTGTCCGGAAACTGAGCGGGGAGAGGGGAGAGGAGCCCATGGGCACAGACCCTGTGGGGGCGGGGCCTGGGAGGCCCCTCCCAGCACTCAGTCTCCGCCCACCCCCACCCGGGAGCAGGTGCTGCTGAGCCTGAGTGATGAGGACCTGGAGCTGGGCCTGGGCGTGTGCAGCTCCCTGCACCGGCGCAAGCTTCGCCTGGCCATTGAGGACTACCGGGACGCCGAGGCGGGCAGGAGGTGAGCCCACCGTGCCGGGCCCTGGCAGGAAGTGCCCGCATCCTCCCAAGGCCTCCAGGGCATACGGAGAGGTGAACGGGGCGCTGTGGCCTGGGCCAGGGGCAGGGGACATTGGGCGTGACCAAGATGGCCCCTGTCCTGCTCCAGCCCGCCCCCTCCCAATAGTGAGATGGACACACAGGGAAGACATGAGCCCCCCGCCCTCCCCGAGCACCTCATCCTCACGCAGCCAACCCCAGCCGGTCTGCAGACTGGGCCAAAGTGTCCGTCCCGCCCACGTCACCTCCATTTCGGCTCTTACCATTCCTGGGTGAGGAAAGCCGGCGCAAAGCAGGGAGCATCGGCCGCAGGCGGAGAAGACACTGGGCGCACGTGAGCCCACATCTTCCACGGAGGAGCAGGCTGGGTGGGAGGGGCTCCTGTTAGCAAGCTCACCGGGAAGGGCCAGAGTCCCGTCCCTCAGGTGGGTCTCTGCCAGGCCACCTCCCCCCACCCTACCTCCTCTAGTCTCTCTGCTGACCCCTTGTGAGGAGAATCTATGGGGCGGCGCTCATTCACCAAATGGCTCCCGGGAAAGGGAGGGAGCCGCCACGCCCACCTGCCCGGGCCTCCGCGTGCAGCAGGGGGAGGAAGGCGCTCTGTGAACCTGACCCTTGGCTTCTGCACAATCGCTCGCCATCCCCCTGTGCGGTTAATTCATCGGACCTGGCGTGGGCTGTTATCTGCAGAAGCAGCTCTGTGGATTGAGGGAGGGGTTGGGAATCAGGCTGGCTTGGAAGCAAGGAAGCCACATCCGCCTGTGGGTGGGAGCGAGTCCGGGTGCAGCAAATACCGACCGGAGACCCGGACAGGAGCGTGGGCAGCAATGAGGTCCCGGCGGCTGGGGACAGGGCTGAGGGACAGTGGAGGAGGGGTGGGGTGCACCTGCTGGGCGTCTCTCCTGGGGGTCCCTCCTGCAGCTCACTCCCCGCCCACTTCCTAACCAGCACGCCCACCCTCCCAGCCCTCCTAAAAGCCCTCATCATCCAGCTGCCCCAAGGCGAGGGCCCCTCTGCTCCCAACCCCAGGCCCAGCGGGGTCTACAAAGGCTGCCAGCTGTCTGGCCGCCGCCCCAGCACCCCTCATTCCGGCGTCTTGCTGTGCTCAGGCCGCCATAAAATACCAGGACTGGGCCCTCGCGGCCCAAACGCGCTCCTCACAGCTGCGGAGGCTGAAGTCCAAGGATGTGAATGAGGGCTCCCTTCCCAGCAGGGCCCTCAGATAGCAGAGGGAGAGACAGAGACGGAGCTCCAACCCTCTGCCGTCTCTTCTCACACGGGCACCGATCCCACCCTCATGCCTGAGTCGCCCCGCCCCCACAGGCCCCACCTCCCAGTGCCGTCACACTGGGGTCAGGGCTTCAACGTGGCGATTTCAAGGGGATGAATAATGAGTCCCTAACCGCGGCTAAAACAGTGGCCCGAGACCTCCAGGAACACAAGTCCGGGGTCAGGCCAGTGTTCGTGGGGCTTGCAAGCCCCCGAGAGCCATGAGCAGGGTTGTCCTGGGGGCCGGGGAGCCCCAGCGTCAGACCCCCCCACCCGGGGAAGCAGAGGCACCCCGCGTTCTGAGCTGCCTTGAGTCAGGTGCCCTGTCTGGGAGTCTGTCTCCCACCTGTGAAGGGCGGGGTTGAGTTAGAGCCTGGTTCTTAGGCTCTGAGAGATGACAGCCGCCCTGAGACTCTAAGAAGAGCTCTTGACGCCGTCCCGGGAGGAGACACACGAGCTGTCATGGCCGCACGTGCCAGGACCCTCCACCCCACCCAGGAGCCTTCAAGAGTATTTCCAGTCCTGACCTCTGTGTGTCCCTGAGTGCAATGTTGCCCTGTCTGGGCGTGGTCTCCTTATCTACAAAATACTGACAGCAAAGCCCACCCACCCCTGGGCAGCCCCCGTGACACCATCAGTGCAGGAGATAGAGGTTCTCACCCCATTTTAAAGATGCGAAAGGTGAGGTGCCCCAGCTCCATGCAGAGCCATGCTCCAGGACATCAGGGTGCAAGTCTATGGCCTCTCCACCACCCCCACGCCACCTCCCTACCGAGAGCAGCGCGTTCTGCTACTGTGAACTGGGGAGCTCTGGGTGCCTCCCAGATCCGTGCTAAGGGGTCTTTTGGGCCTCACAACTCCACGAAGGAAGCGCGATTGTCCCATTTTACAGATGGGGACACTGGGTCCCGGGGAGCGACATCCCACAGCTAAGGGCAACAGATTCCTGTTTCCGGGGCTGAATGCAACCCAGGCCACATCCACTTCCCAGGCTCTCGTGTGGCCCCAGCATGAGGAGGGGTGATGGCAGATTTTTCTAAAGCGTCTGAATTACTGTTAAGCTGCGCTGCCTTGCGCCACTCGGGCTCCGACGAGCGCTCAAACCCACAGCTGGGAAAGTGCGGCCCAGCCGAGGCCGCACAGGGACAGCTGTGATGAAGAGAACATTCTAGAAGGGCAGGAACACATTAACTGTAGACACACAGATGCCACTGCTGGTTATAGACGGGCCTCTCAAGGAGGTTAAGCGGGGGCCCCCCAGCCGCCACCCCAGATCTGGGGCCACCACTGGGCCAACCCCTCTCCAGACAGGAGAGGAGGCCACCCCGCCTGCTCTCAGGATCCAGCCTGGCCCTCTAGCATCTCACAGCATCAGAGAGCCACTTCCTGCCCCAGCAAGAGAGCCCTGAGGCTGGACCCTGGGTCACGCCCCTCTGTGACAAGCTGGCCTGGCCCTGGAGGGGCAAGAGGGCATCTGCCCTGGGGTTTTTCATTCTCAATGGGGGCTTGTCATGACCGGAAGGTTCCAGTTCAGGAGCCCCCAGGGCTGGACTGGAACCAAAGCCCTGCTCACCGCACCCCTGCCCCGGCGCCATCCCCCTGTTTGGTTATAAAGTGAACTGTGGTGGGGACCCTGGGGGTTCATAGACAAGCCAAACCCAGGCCTGCCCTCCAGGGGTTCACACTCCTGCTGGGAAGATCAGCAATGGGCCTCAGCTGGCAGGTGCACCCACAGGGACTCCCGGGAGCACTGGGCATGGAGCAGGAACCCCGCCCAGCACAAAATCCCGGAAGGCTTCTGGCACTCAGACGTTTCAGCAGAGTGCAGGCGTGAGCCGGGCGGAAAGGCTGCGTGGGGTGGAGAGCCGGCCGTGGGCAGGAGCCATGCAGCAGGCGGCGTGGAGCTGGGAACCCACCCTGCCCTTAGCCTCTCTCCCAGCGAGTATTCAGTGCGTGCTGTCCGCGCGGCCCTGCACCGAGTGTTAAGCTGTGAACGCCGTCCCTGTCCTGAGGGACCTCATAGGCTAGGGCTGGGGGGAGGGAGAAGCTGAGCCAGCAGCAAAGCCATTTCTGATGTGCAGTGTCAGGGAGAACTCAGGCCGGATTGGGGGGGCTGGGGTTGGACACCCCAGGGAGCAGAAGGGCTGAGCCACAGCGGGGCTACAGGGAGCCGGGGCAGGATGCCATGGGCTCAGTGGGTCCCGGGAAATGCCACCCGCCCCCCATGACTCCCCACCACCCACCAAGTGCAGAGGGGGAGGGGAGGGCCGGCGTGCGCAGGGCCGTGTGGTTCCTCCAGGGACTTGGGGTTTTATCCTGAGAAAGGAAGCCAGCGAGGGCATTCCACGGGGAGTGACAGGATCTGACGGACGACTATAGAGAGAGGACCAGCTGGCCACCGTGGGGAGCATGGATTCAAAAGGGGCGGTGGTTGGAAAGTGGGGGCAGAGTCAGAGGAGGTGGCAGAACCCCCTCGCTGGGGACAGGTGTGGCTTGGGACAGGAGAGAAGGGGAGCGAGAGAGGACACACGGGCCCGGATGGAGCGCTGGGGCAGGGCAGTGAGGACAGGGCTCTCTGAGGAGCTCGGATGGTGGGGGGAGGCAGCCGGGACCCTGGGGAGCGGGGATGCCCGAGACAGCCAGCAGGCGCCGAGAGGGCTGCTAGTTAGGAGCTGGGAGAGGAACAGGCGCTCAGGAGAAACTCTGAAGAAGCCCAGAGCTCTGGACACAGCCTGGTGCAGGGAGAGGCACGTGTGGACCAAGATGAGCCCCCTGCCCGGGAGCTGCTCAGCCGCCATCCTTGGAAGAAAGAGGGGTCACCATGCGGAGCCATTTAGGGCCGTCCACAGAGGTTGGTGCCATCAGCTCTCTGGCTGCTGCCCTGGGGAGCGGGAGCCCACCATATCCCTGTCACTCGGTGATCTCATCCTGGTCCCAGTGGCTCCTACTTGGGCATCCCTGCTCGCCCACCTGGAGGTGGCCCAGGTGTGGCTGCAGGGTCTCCATGCTTTCTGCGAGGCTGCCACCGTGTGGCTGGTAGGGGAATGACAACCAGGGGACCACCCTCAGCAGGTGCGTGCACACACATTGACCCACTCAGAGCATCCATGGCACACCCACAGAGAAGACTGAGATGTGGCAGTGAGAGACAGAATGAAGCAAGAAGTAGGTTTCATTCGGATTCCACGAGGCGCCGCTGTGCGTGTCTGTGCAGTCTGAGCACGGTCACCTGTGCGGGGAGAGAGGGACTCCTCCTCACGCTGCATCTCCGAGTGTCAGGATGTCCCCGGCACATGAGAGTGGATACCCAGTAAGGCCGTCACACAGACGCTTCTCCAGAAAACCAGGCCGGAAGGCAGGCCGTGGGAGGGAACCGACAGGACAACCAATGACAGGGGCCAGGCCAGGCTTCCTGGGTCTCAGGGACCCTGCAGAGCCCCCTGGCAGTGAGGATGGCCCGAGGCAGGCAGGCGGGTCCCCAGAGGGGCGGCTCCTGCTGCTCTGTCCCCACGTCTGGCACCGATGCGGCCACTTCTCTTTCTGTTCCCTTTTGTCTCAATTGCTTCCTGGTCTTTGTCTCTCTCTCCTGTCCCTCTGCCTCCGTCCCCGTCTGTGCTTTCCCCACCTCCCTCTTCCTCTCTGTCCTCCCCTCCACCCCATCCTGTCTGTCTCTGTGGCTTTCTTGTCCCCCTCTCCAACCCTGTGGATGTCCCCCTCCCATCACCTCTGCCACTTCGCCCCACCATGCCTCTCTCCGGCTGTCTTTCCCTCAGCTTATCCAAAGCAGCCGACCTGGACCATCACTGGGTGGCCAAGGCCTGGCTGAATGACATCGGCCTGTCCCAGTACTCCCAGGCCTTCCAAAACCACCTGGTGGACGGGCGCATGCTGAACTCGCTGATGAAGCGGGACCTGGAGAAGCACCTGAACGTGTCCAAGAAGTTCCACCAGGTCAGCATCCTGCTGGGGATCGAGCTGCTCTACCAAGTGAACTTCAGCCGGGAGGTGAGCCCTGGGCCTGGGGCAGGGGCGAGGGGCCCTTCCTTCCCCCTCTGGAATCTACAGCTGTCCACCCAGCCACCTGCCCATCTGCCCATCTGTCCACCCATCCACCCACCCACCCACCCACACATTCGTCCACCCACCCATCCATCCACCCATCCACCCACCCGTCCACCCACCCATCCACCCACCCATCCATCTATCCATCCACCCATCCACCCACCCATCCACCCACCCGTCCACCCACCCATCCATCCACCCACCCATCCACCCACCCATCCACCCACCCATCTACCCATCCATCCATCTATCCATCCACCCACCCACCCACCCGTCCACCCACCCGTCCACCCACCCGTTCACCCATCCATCCATCCACCCATCCACCCACCCACCCATCCACCCACCCATCCACCCATCCATGCGTGCATGTGTCCATTCACCCCTGCCTCCTTCCACCCCTGCCTCCTTCCAACAGCTGCGTGTCGGCCTGGCGCAGGCCTGTGCTCAGCTCAGGGCGAGTGCGGACCCTCACTCTGTAAGAGCTCACTCTAGCCAGGGAGACCACAGGAACCAGGGGTGGTAGCACTGTGGGAAATTGTCCCAGTGAGGCCACCCGAGGTCGGATGACAACGCTTCCAGGAGGGGTCGAGGAGAACTTCCAGAGACAGGGTCAGCTAAGCTGAGAGCCAGAGCAGGGGGAGGGACTGCAGGGGCACAGCCGACATGAGGGAGGGGGAGCACACAAAGGGGCAGGGGCCGCCTGCATAGCGGCAGAGAACTGGGCGCCCTGAGGGTGGGCGCTGGGCAGGGAGCCGGGGGGGGCGTGGCGAAGAGTCGGGACTCTGAGTGCCCCCCTGATGCTGAGCTCTGCCAAGCTCCAGCTCCCGGGGCCCAGCCAGGCCATCTCCCCATGCGCTCCCCATGCATTCTCCAAGGTTTGGGGAGAGGACCAGGGAGCTCGTGTTCAATGTGGCTGCTGGGCGCCGTGGGGCTGGGTCCAGACAGTTGGTTTTTCCGGGTGTGATAGCAGAGTCAGGAGGAGAGAAGCTGCCCGATCTTTCGTCCCCTGTCACATGTCCTGCGCCCCGCACCCACCCGCCACCCTACAGGGCCTGCACACAGCGGGGAGCATGAGGACACAGACTCCGGGCTGACAAAAGGGGCAGATGTGGGTGATTGTGGCAGTACCACGTAGAGAGGAGGGGGTGACAGGCTGGGGAGCGGACAGCGAGCCCTGGCGAGGCTGCGCCCACGTGCGCTGCAGGAGCTTTGTCCAGGAGGCAGCCCCAGGGCAGCCCGTGAGCAGGCAGCAGTCTGACCCTCCTGCAGGGTGCCAGAGGGTGTCCTGTACTGGGTGACACTTGCAGTCCCCGGGGCTGCACGGGAAAAGTCTCTACAGTCACTGAGCACCTGCCGCAGGGGGTGGGAGGCGGGAGGCGGGAGGCGGAGCCAGGAGGCCACCTTCCAAGCACACAGGTCACCGCACCTCCCAGAGTGAGAGCCCGCGCCACGTGATGATGTGGCTCAAGCAGCCGTGGGTGGCCCAGCTGGGACTCCTCACACAGACACACAGAGGCTCCCACCCAGGACATCAGGGGCCCTCGCTCTGCCTGTGACCTCCATGTGTCCCTCCTCGCCACCAACCCGGACCCCTGTCTCCCCATCCAGGCCCTCCAGGAGCGCCGGGCCCGCTGCGAGACGCAGAACACGGACCCCGTGGTGTGGACCAACCAGCGGGTGCTCAAGTGGGTGCGAGACATCGACCTGAAGGTGAGGGGCGGGGCATATGCAAATCCCGTGCCTATCTGAATACAAATTAAAGGCAGGATAACTCCCGGTCTGTCCCTCACCCCAGCTCCTCACCCCCCACCACAGGACCCCCCGTGATGCCACACCCATCCCACGGTTGCTGAGCAGCAGGTGTGAGCAGGTGCAGCTGCCACTCCTCACTTGTCTGGGGGCTGCCAGCCGGGGTCAGGGCTGTGCCACTGACCTGAGGCGCCTGCCCTCGGGGCTCTAAAAGAGTGTGTGAAGAGGGGTCCCCCTTCACGATGATGTGAACCCCAGAAAGCAGGGTCAAGCAGCCTCACGTCCCTGCCCTCAGGAGTACGCGGACAACCTGACCAACAGCGGCGTGCACGGCGCCGTGCTGGTGCTGGAACCTACGTTCAACGCCGAGGCCATGGCCACCGCCCTGGGCATCCCCAGCGGGAAGCACATCCTACGGAGACATCTGGCGGAGGAGATGAGCGCCATCTTCCACCCGGCCAAGTGAGTGCGGGTGGCGCCCCGGCTGTGGGTGCTGAGTGCAGCGTGGGGGCTTCCGGGTCAGGGGCTCCAGGCTTTCCTGTCTCCACTGCGTCCCAGATAGGGAAACTGAGGCTCAGAAGAGCACCAGGCTCTGGACTGAGAGGTCAGAGAAAAGAAAGACGGAAGAGCAAGCAGGTGTCGAATAAAGCGTGCGTTAAATCGGAAAGCACGCGGGCTAACTGGGCACAAGGTGTGGGTACGGATACGGGCGCGCGAATGGTGCTCGTGGTCGGGGGAGCAGAGCGCATCAGCCCCCTGCTCATCTGAACACCTGGACGGATGCACGGGGGATTCTCTCTGGAGGACGACACACTCAGCGTTAGGTGACCACTCGCTGTGTGCTTGTTTCCCTTTCCTGACAATGCGAGGTCGGCACCGCTCCCCGCCTTTACAGAGATCTGGTCAAAGGGCCAAGCTCCAGCCACGTTCACCCAGCTGATAAGCAGCAGAGTCCAGGTTCACGTTCAGTTCTGCTAACCCGGTGGGTGATGCTGGCTGCCTTCCCTCCGTGGAACCAACCTTGCCTTCTCGGGGTGAATCCCACTGGGTCATGGAGCCTAACCCTGGGTGTGGGTCGCCGGAGCGGCTTTGCTGGTGTTTTGTTGAGGATTTTCATGCCTATATTGACCAAGGCCGTTGGTCTATAGTTTCCTTGTGATGTGTTTGTCTGGTTTCAGCCTCAGGGCGGTGCTGACCTCCTAGAATGAGTTGGGAGTGGTCCCTCTACTTCCAGTTCTGGGGAAGAGTTTGGGGAGGGCAGCCCGCGGGTCCCAGACTGTCCACTGTGGGCGCTCACTGACTACAAAGAGGATCCCCGCTAGATGCAGCCCTGCTCAGGCCTGCATTTCCCCAGGGCCGGCTCCCCGCGGGCCTCTGGCTGGGAATCCGTGCGTCTCCCCCAGGCTGGCTCACTCACTGGCTGTGCCCTCAGCCCGCCTCCTCGCCCTGCTCTCCCACTCTCAGCGATCTGACGCTGCACCGTTTCTTGGCTGAGCATTTATTGGTTGCACTGACAGAGCCCAGATCTGAACTTCAGACCCTCTCACTCCAGCCTACGCCCTGAACTACCCCCGCCCCCACACCACCAAAAAAACACATAAGGCCTGAGGCAGCCTCTGGGCCATGCCCTGTATCACGCAGGTGGAGAAACTGAGGCTTGGGGGTGCATCGGAGGCAGGGTCCAGCTGCCCTGGCCTGCCCGTGCCCCCACCAGGCTGATGCCCAAAGCCGCCTGTAGCAGAATCCCTGGGACGCTTACGAAGTCACGTGCCCTGGCCCCAGACCTGTGCAGGGCCCAGGAGTCTGCTTTTTGAGCATGTCCAGGGGTTCTCATGGACCCCAATGTTAGAGAGCCGGGGCTCGGCTGTCTCAGGACAAAGGCTTTTGATTCTATACCTTCCCTGACTCCCAGCCACAGCCACAGGGTCTGTAAAAGGCTCAAAGTGTCCAGAGCCCTAGACAGGCGGCCGCAGCGACACGTGAGCAGGCATGAACCGGTGTTCATGTCCTGATTACTCCCGGACACTACGGGGGAGCAGGGCTGTGCAGGGCAGTCTGGGACGAGCAGGTGAGCACCGGGAAGGTCCTGGCTGCAGCACACAGGGCACAGCCTTGTGTTTGATGATGAACTAGGAGGAGGGAAGTGAACCTGGGCCGGGCTCCTCCTCTGACACACGGTGAAGCCGAGGCTGGCCGGCTGGGGACCGAGAGGCTGTGGCGCCGGCCCTGGGCCCGGGCTCAGCCCCAGCCCCGTTACCACCTCCATCTGTGACGCTGCTTCCTCTCCACGTGCACACACAGCTCGGGTGCCGTGCCCCCCACGTGGGATCGCAGAGCACCGGACCACTTGCCAAGATCCTGCCGAAAGCTGGGGTACTGAAGGAACCCAGAACTAATGGGCTTCCCGGGACAGCCAGAGACCCCCTCTGTCCCTGTAGGAGCCCCCAGGGAAGCGAAACACCAGGGAGAGGCTGGGGAGGCATTGACATTGACGTTTGTATTAACCAAGCTCTTGGGACTTGGCCCAGGTCATCCCCATGGCGGGGAGGGTTAGGGGCTGGGGGTCCCCTCCTCCCGTCCTGCCAGAGGCTCCTTCTCTGTCGCTACCCTCAGCTTTCCTGAGAGAGGTAGACAAGGAATGGGGCGAGGCAGTGGGGCTGGCCCTCCAAGGTGAGTCCTGGAATGTTCTAGTTAGAGAAGCAGCCCTAGGCCATTGAGAAAGCAACAGGGGCTAAGCCAGGCTCCAGCCCTGGGTGAATCCCAGGCTGGGGGGCCGTGGGGGAAGCAGCGAGAGCAGCCCTGTGTGTCGCTCGCGGATCACATCGCCACCAGAGCACCGAGTGTACTTCCACTCGAACCTCCCCTCACTCCGGCGGGCTGAGTGAGAAGGGGCACTGCCTCATTTTACGGGTGAGGAAACCGAGGCTGCACAGAGGTGCCGTGACCCACAAAAGCAGCACCAGCGTCAGTAGGAGCACCAGCACCAGCCCGCCAGACTCCCTTGCCCAAGGCTTTCCACCGTGATGGGAGCTTCCAGGTGCTGGCGAGCTCCAGGTCCCTCCCTCACAGCTGTGACCCTGCAAGTCCCTCAGAGAATCCTGGGAAATTCTGGTCCCTGTGTGTTCGTGGTCCCTGGGCAGGAGGTCGGGGGGGACGGGCGGCCGAGGCTGACCCCAGGAGAAGCACACGTACTTCCCCAGGGCTTGTGGGTCCCAACAGGATGTCAGCTTCTCCAGCCTCCTCCATCACCATGGCAACGCCCGTGGCCAGGAGGGCGAGCAGGAGAAGGTTCTGGCATTGTCTCACGGGCTCTGCTTCGATCTGCGCTGGCTTCCTGCTTCTCGCAATGCACCTTGGCCCCCCGCCAGCCCTGTGTCCCTCGCAGGACCGGGCATCAGAGCTGCAGGGGGAGAAGACCGTGGGACAGAAGTGTCATGATGGCCCTGCGGATGCCAAGTCCATCGGCAGCGTCAAGTCCACCTTCCTCACTGGGGTTCGTCTGAGCATCAGGCCTGTGAAGCAGCAGAAAACCTTGGCCCTCGCTCCTTAGCACTGCGCCCCATCCTGGGCCTCATGGACCCCAAGGGTCCCCGTTTTGTTTCCAAGAACGGAAGAGCTGTCCAGCCTCATCCTCTCTGCCTTCCGCCTTCCCACTCCAGGAGCAGCCCCCCACCCCCCAGCAAACAGAAAGGAGTCTGGCCCTTGACCTTCAGAACCATGACCTTGACCCCTGCATCCACAGCAGAGTCCAGCTTCCCTGGCGTTTGATCAGAGCTTTCTCAGCCCTAGCCACCATCTGCCTTCAGTCAGCAAAGCTTCCTAAACCCTGTGCAGGCCACCCCCGGCCAGGCCGTGGCCCTCTGTGGTGGGGACGTGGACATCCCGCCCCGGGCCAGCAGCTCCCTTCCGGCAGCAGCAGAGCACTGGACTTGTGTCTTCCAGGCCTCCCCTCGCTCGTGTGAGCTGCTGCAGCTGCGGGGTCCCTGGGAGGTCTCGCCCCCCTCCCTCTGTTACACGTGAGGACCAATATCTGCAAAGCCAGATGCTCCACCCAGAATTCTCTGCATCCCCGCAGCACCGATTCCTGGCTGTGTGACTTGGGCAGGTTGCTGAGCTTCTGTGAGCCACACCTTCCCCATCTGCACAGTGGAACCATAGTCAGTATCTGCCAACCTGAGGGTTGACGGAAAGATGCGGTGAAATCCGGTAGAGCCATCGGCACGGGAACCGGCTCTTTTTAAGGCGCCCAGTAGCAAATATTAGCAGCCATGACCCCAAGCCCACCGCAGCCCTGCTGCCGTCTCCTGTTCCGTCCCCACAGAGCAATGGCTGAAGTGTGGCTCCATGCTGGACACGAGCCTCTGGCTTCGCCTCTGTCAGCCTCCGTTTCCTCATCTGTAATATGGGAATACGGTTCACATCGACCTCACGACTGGTGTGAAGATCCGGGGAGGTGCCAGGACGCAGCCTGCCCGACGACGTCCTGCACGGACAGGCAGCTCCTGTCCCCGCTTTTACACGGACACGGAGCATCTCAGCGAAGCAGGCCACTTCCTTCCGAGCCGGCCTCGGGCTGTCGCCTTTCTCTCAGTTTGCTCCGGGTCCCTCCTTAACACCCAGTGGAGAAGGTGGATGCAACCCTCAAACACACAGACCGGGGGGCCTGGAGGCCTGCCCCACGTCCGCGCCTCCCCAAGCCTGCGTTCCTCAGGGGCGGACAGCTGGCAGAGACGGAACGCGCTCGGGTCCCTCACTGCGCCAGGGGCACCCACTAGGAGACTGTGGTTCTGTAAGAGTCTGCCCCACCCGCTTCCCTGAACAGGCCCTGGGATGTGCGCGCAGGGACCAGCACGGGCTGGGCGTAGCATCCGGAGTCTGCTCCATGCAGCGCAGGACCCCAGCACAGCCCGTGGCGCTGGATTCTGGCACCCTTGCCATCAGCTGTGTGACTTCAGCGAGAAACTTGCCCTCTCGGAGCTGATTTTCTCATCGTGTGGTAGGAAGGAGTCCTCCTGCTTTCCAAGGCCTCGGAGAGGGCCGGGTGCCCCCGTGGGTACAGGAGCCAGCAGGTGCCCAGGGCACAGCCTGTGGCCCCCGAGCACTCTCCTCCCCTACCCTGAGACACCACCCCGGCACCCCGGAGTCCTGGGCCTCGCAAGTCCTAGTGTGATCCTCGTGGCTCAGCCCCCAGACCCGGGCAGCTAACCACACCTCTGCACCCCCAGGCCCTCCCCTTCCCAGGATGCCCCGTACTGGCTCAGGGGACCCCCTGCTGTGCCCCATCCTCCAGGACTTCCACGCAACAGAGCTCACCCCTCCCACTTAGCACTTCCACAAGGTCTAAGTCACGAGAGAGTTCATGACCAATTCCGGGCTCCGGAGACCTTGATCTTGTGTTTGGGTGATCCCAGGGTCTCCATGGGTTTTAACCCAAAGGAGGAGCTGACAAGGGGTTTGCAGCCCCCGTGGCCACGCGGGAAGGGGAGGTCGTGGAGTACAGTAGGGACCACCCTGTGCTCCATCCTCTGTGGCACCCAGGCAGCCCCCTTCTCTCCAGGTAACGACTCGTTAGGCCCAAAGCTGCCTCCTCGGCTCCATTGCACAGATGAGGAGACTGAGGCCTAGCCAGACAACCCACTTGCACAGGGTCTCGTGTCGGTCACTGCGTCCTCGTGACGGCCTCGTGTGAGCAGGTCCCTTGTCAGCCCCACTCTGCAGAGCACCCAGCCCGGGGGACCCAGCTGCTAAAGGGGACGGAGCCAGACCACCCATGTGGAGCCCACGCCGGCTGTCCCTGACCCCCTAGATCTCCACCACACAGCCCACGTTCAGTGTCCACGCTGGCCACCGCGTGTCTTGTGCATCCTTGGGCCAGACACGCCCCCTCCCCCCTGGGGACTGCAGTCTCTTGTTCAATGAAAACAGAAGAAACCTCAGGGCTCTCGCAGGCGCGTCTGACCACTGATGTCCCGTGACCTGGGTTTTGACGCACTTTCAAGAGACAGCAGACGAAGCTGGTCGCTGGTTTCTGTGGCTTCTGCAGTGAGAGCTGCCCCCTACCCCACCCGGGGAAATTTGGGTGGAGTGGGGAGCACCGTCGTGACCCCCTCGCATGGCGTGAGCCTCGCCGAGACACACGTGCTCCTGGCTGTGCGCCCTTCCGTCAGCCGGCGCCGTCTCCTGTTCACCGCCTCCTACCCCACCCCCAGAAGCCGTGCACAAACCATCAGCAGGTTCCTTCCTCTGCACTGGGCCATCTCCACAGTGACCCAAACCACGCGCGGCTCCCAGCTCCTACACAGGCGACCCCTGCCGACCCGCCAGCCGGCGCCAATTCCCGGGATGTGTTGCAAATGTCCACCTGCGTCCTCACTCCAGCCCTCGAGCGGGCCCTGCTGCGCTCCCTGCGGCAGCTTGGTGAGGTTGGCGCCGCTGGGTCCCGGTAGGGCAGACACGGAAACTGAGCTTTAGGGAACGGAAGTGACTTGCTCAAGGGCACTCAGCCAGGCAGCCGCAGATGCGGGCTTCGGCCACACCTGCCTGGAGACAGCCCTGGAGTGCAGGGGTCCCCCTTCCCCACTGGGACCCCCGTGGATGCCAGAAACGGCAGATTCCATATGGCATTTCTGCCTGCACACTCGCGCCTCTGATAGTCTAATTCATAATTTAGGCACGATAACTAATAACAGTGACAACTAATAACAGTAATAACTAATAGGGCCATCTTTAAGTTTGGTTGATTTGAAAAGCAGAGTGACATGGGCCGGCGCAGTGGTTCATTAGGCTAATCGCACCCCGGGTCGGGGCGCCGGATTCTGTCCCGGTTGCTCCTCTTCCAGGCCAGCTCTCTGCTGTGGCCCGGGAGTGCAGTGGAGGATGGCCCAAGTCCTTGGGCCCTGCACCCCATGGGAGACCAGGAGAAGCAGCTGGCTCCTGGCTTTGGATCAGCACAGCGCCGGCCGTAGCAGCCATTTGGGGGGTGAACCAACAGAAGGAAGACCTCTCTCTCTCTCTTTCTCTCTCTCTCTCTCTCACTGTATAACTCTGCCTGTAAAAATAAAATAAAATAAATAAAATAAAATAAAAAGAAAGGCAGAGTGACAGAAAAAGGAGAGACTGAGAGAGAGAGAGAGAGAGATCTTTCATACACTGTTCACTCCCCAAGTGGCCACAATGGCCGAGGCTCATCCCGGGCACTACTTGGAATGGATGCCAATTAGAACTTGAAATTGTTTATCTCTGGAATCTTCCACTGACTATCTTTGGATTGCCCTTGATGGCAGGTGACTGAGACACAGACAGCAAAGCCACAGTTGTAGGCGGGACTTCCTGTGTCACACGTTTGTTATGGTGGCCTGGGGTGCAGAAGGCTGCCTGCCAGGGCTGGGCCCACCCAACAGTCAGAGAAAGGCCGGAGGCCATGGGAGACCGTGGCTTGGCCGAGGTGAACGGGAGGGAGAGGGCAGCTGGCAGCGCCGAGGCTCAGGACTCGGCTCGGAGCCGGCTCTGGCCCAGCCGTGCCTGTCCACCGGATGTCCACGCGTAAACAAGTGGGCGTGGCTGAGCGCCGAGCAAACTTGATTCATAAAACCCGACAGCTGGCTGGACTCCGTCTGCAGGCTGTGACAGCCAAATGCTGCCAGGACTGAAGCTTTTCCAGAAAGAAGGGAGGGAGGGGTAACTTCCGGCGGGGGACACGTCACAAGTGCAGGGAGGGGGTGAGAGGGGACCTGCCTGATGCTTCTCTGAGCACACGGCTCAGCCACACGTGGGGACCCTCCTGCTCGGCTGCCCTGACCTGAAGAAGCTTGGCACGCTGAGGGAGTGACAACGAGACTTGGGCGGCACGGGGCGCGGAGCGGGGTCTTGGCTGTGCCGCGGTGTAACCGTGGGCAAACTGCTCGGTGCCTCTGTGCCCCCCTTACCTCACCTGGAAGGCAGGGAGGGCACCCCGATGTCCAGGCCCACGATGGAGACCAGACTCAAGTGCCCAGCTCAGTGCTGGCCACAGGCGGCCCCGCGGCTCTCAGCATTCGCAGCCCTGGCACGGCAGGAGGGTGGGGTGCCTGGCGCTGCCCGAGGCCCCCTGCTGACTGGACGGGCCTCTCCCCAGCTCCGCAGGAATCCGGGAAACTGAGCGCTTCGGGACGCCCCCCGGGAGGGCCCCCAGCATCACCCGGGCAGTGCTGGCCACAGGCGGCCCCGCGGCTCTCAGCATTCGCAGCCCTGGCACGGCGGGAGGGTGGGGTGCCTGGCTCTGCCCGAGGCCCCCTGCTGACTGGACGGGCCTCTCCCCAGCTCCGCAGGAATCCGGGAAACTGAGCGCTTCGGGACGCCCCCCGGGAGGGCCCCCAGCATCACCCGGGCAGGGAAGGAAGAAAACAGCAGCGGCATCAAGTACAAGGCCGGCCGGGTACGTGGCTCACGGGTTCACACGGTTCACCCGGGCAGGGTGCCGGCTCCCAGCTGCACCTGCGGGGGGCTCCTGCGGGGGCCTGTGGGTGGAGCCGGGTGGCAGGGAGGATGTCCCAGCTGCCACCTTCGAGGACATGCATGACGTTTGGGGCGGGGGCAAAGCCCCTCTCCCCTCCCCGCCCCCCAAGGCTCACCGTGGGGTCGCCGGAACTGCAGGTCTCTCCTGCTTGTGTCGGAAGCACTCGGGGTGGGGGGCAGGGTTGCAGATTCTGGGCCCCACCCCAGGCCCCTAAGGCAGAAGGGCTCGGGTGCCAGTGCACCTGCTTGCAGCCCGGATGCCCGGATGGTGCAGGTGCCCCCCAGCTCGGAGAACCACCCACTGAGATTTTGCAGTCCTGCAAGCAGACAGGGAGCGGGAGCCGAACCTCTGGTGACCCCAGCAAAGCTGTATACAAACACAGGCAAGGGGTCTGATCACAGAGACTCCAGTGGGCAGGTTCCTAAACGGGAGCGTGCAGACCCGGATGGCAGAGCTGGAGAAGGCGACAGTTCTTTCATTCGCTCAGCAAACACAGTCTGGGTGCCGACTGTGTCCCAGGCACTGTCCCAGGCACGGGCAGTGGCGGTGGCGCAGGCAGGAATAAGCGGCTCCCTCTGCCTGAAGACGCCCCCGTGTAGGACAGGCGCTCCGTTGGAGCCACCCTGCTAGGGGAAAAGCGGACTGAAAATGCGGATCTCCTTAGCGAAGCAGAGATTCAAGGAAGGTTGAGAAACGCTGGTCTAAAAAGAAAGGCAGCCTGGCAAACAATCGCGGAGCGTTAGTGTGGCTCCTGCCAGCAGAGCGGTGCCCCACATCAGATAGCGACGCCTGCGAGGGCCTACTGTGTGCGGTGACAGCTGCCTGCTGCGCGCCAGCACCGGCCGTGGGCTTTGAAGATGGGACTCCTCCTCTTTACAGTCCCATTTTGTAGCTCCCAAGGCTGAGGCTCAGAGAGGGAGGCGGCCTGTCCGAGATCACACAGCTGAGGTGTGGCACAGCGAGGATCCAGACCTCAGCCTGTGCGTTCCCGGGTCCCACCCTGAGCAGAGCATTCCTCCCCGACGTGGGAGCTCGGCCTGGCCTGCGCTCCTGCTCGGCGTTCTCACAGGTGCGCCCAGTGCACCTGCTCTCAGCTGGGGCGGGAAGGGGGGGGAGGAGGGAGGGGACTGCAGGGATTATCAGAGCGACGATGTCTGGCCTCACTCTGTAGCCAACCGAGTGCTTCCAGGTGGGAGCACGAAACGCTCTTGGTGTCTTCGAGCACAGGGCTGTTGCCGCTGATAAAAACAAGCACAGAGAGGTTAGCGGGCTGCGCCAGGTCACACAGCAATTGGCACTGCAGCGCCCCCAGAGCCCAGATCTGCAAACGTTCAGTTCTCGTCTCTCCTCGCCCTCCCCCTCTCTCTCCTCAGCTGCCCCTGGGGAAGATAGGAAGGGGCTTCGGCAGCAAAGACCCCGACTTCCATGATGACTACGGCTCCCTTCAGAATGAAGACTGTGGGGATGATGACCCCCAGGGCGGGCCCGAGCAATGCCGTCTGGAAGGCTACAACGGCCTGGAGGTCACCAACGTGTGAGGACCCAGGGGCTCCACCAGGTGCCACGCGGGGAGACCCAGGGAGGGAGCAACAGACGCCCGGGCCTGCCCCACCCCGGACACAGCGACCCTGGCTGCCGATGCCCCCCTACTCCTGGGCAAATCCCAGAAGCCTTCAGAGAGCTGGCAACGCAGGCTGCCTGCCTTGGGCAGCCACAGACTTGCCTGCTTAACCAGAGCCCGGCCCAGAGGACCCGTCCTGGGAGGCATCCCCTCCGGAAGCCAGGGTGTGCAGGCTCCAGCCCCGAGCAGTCAGCCGCCGAGCAGCCCACGTGTCCCGGAGCCTTGAACTGGGCCGCCCAGGAGGCCAGAGGCTCACGCTTTCCCCAGCAGCCCCCTAGGAGGAGGGGACTCCACCCTGTCCCCCCGGAGCCCGTGCACCTGCCGATGCTGGGCGCAAGCGGAGCCGGCGTGTGGCAGGAAGCGCTGCCTCTTGCTGAGATGAGGGCAGCGAGGTCTCAGTAGCTGCCGCGGAGTTCCGTGCACCCGAGAACTTGGGTTTGGACTCAGGTCACTGAGGGGGCCGTCCCTCCCTGCCCCCACCCCCGTCCAAGCTCTGTGTCACACGGGGTGGGAGTGCTGGCTCCGCTGGAGGCTTGGCAGCAGCACTCCCTGGGCCTGCAGATATCCTGTCCTCAGAGGGAAAGGCATGGTGGTGACGAGGCCACGGGCGACTGTGCCACGTGTGGCTGTGGGTTTGGAAGCCGGGATGGGGAAGTGCTTGTTGTCAACCCCCCGAAGCAGGTGCACGCCCCAACGCCCTAACCGATCTGCACATCCTGCAAAGCCGGGCGTGTTGGTGGTCTCGTCCTGCTGTGTGGCTTCTTCCGGGTGGCCTCACCTCTCTGTGCCTCAACGTCTTCATCTACCACACTTCTGGGCCCCTCCCAGGGTCGTTGTGCGGATTAACACTTGCTAATGTCTGTAACACACTTTTGTAACCACTCAGGAGACAGCAGGAAGGGACCGGAAGGCCGTGTCGGGGTGGGGGGGACGTCTGATGTCGCCCAGACAGCACGGTACAGACACTGAATTGCTCCTCGCCGAGGCTGCTGTGGTCCAAGCACCATGCGGAGAGTGGACCTGGGGCATTCCACGTCCCACGCTCCAGAGCCGTCGCCAGCCGTGGGCAGCCGAAGGCGGGCGATCCCAGGAGCCCAGCCCTGGAAGCCAGGTCGGCTCCGTGCTTGAGCTTGCGTGGGTGACCAAGGGACCTTGCTGACGATGGCTGGGGAAGGAGCAGACGCGTGGGGTTCGACTTACGTCTCGGTTCTCACACTGAAGCTCCGGTGCTCGGCTTCCTTCAAGGCCGTTTACGCTGGACTCCGGGGGAGGCTTGACCGCCCGAGGCTGCGGTGGGCCGTGCCTTTTCCCTTGTGGGAAAAGCACAAACTGGGCCCTGATGATCTTGAACCTGTCCTCCCCGGGCTGAAGCCCATGGCTCGCTCGCTCCCCTTAACATGAGCGCAGTCTCGCTTCCTGCCCGACACCCGGGACTCGAGGGTGCCCGGGTAGACGTCGCCCTTCCCTCCAAAGTGGCCGCCCAGGGACACGTACCGGCCCCAGACCCGAGCCAGGGTGACATCAGCCACACGACAAGGCCTTGGTGAGGTCCCAAAGCCAGGACCTTCACGATGGTCAGCCCCGCCTGCGTCTGTATCTGGTCAGCTGGAACCCACCTGCCCACAGGTGCCACCTACTTTGTTCTCAGACTGGGTCCCATTGGGGTCAAGATGGACAAGCGGAGAGCTGGCCAGGGGCCACTGGCGGCAGCCATTGCCCAAAACGTGCGTCGCGTTAGAGCAGGCCTGGGGCCACCTGGGCCACGCCGAGGGCTCCTGTGGGTAGCAGTGATGCTGCCACAGCGCACTGGCTCGGCCGTGAGGCTCCTGAGCCCCAGCAGCCGGAGGGGATCGGGGCTGACTTCCAACACGAGCCGGGGCAGCCCATCGAGGAACAGGCTCTGGGGTAGGATCCGGGGAGCTTGGCCAGCTGGGCAAACCCTCAGGGTCAGCTCTGCTTCCTGGGTGGGCTGGGAAGAGACTTGACAGAGACTCTGGTCGCCGATGGGCAAAGCCTGCCCCGCTCCTGTCCACGTGGCTGAGTAGTGGTCCTGGGCCCTTTATAAAGGGAGGCGTGGCACCCGGCTTCGGCTGCTGTAGCCACGCCCGTGGTTGCTGCTCCCTGGGATGGGGCAAGGTGGATGGTGCCAGGGGTCAGGGAGAATCGGGGGAGGGATTCCCCCAGAGAGGGTCCCCTGCCCCAGCAGGCTCCGAAAGACCCCTTGTCCTTGGCCACACAGGGCCTCTCTCTGCAGGGTTGCTATGATCTGACTCCAGGCTGCAGGAGGCAGGGAGACACCACGCACACACCTGGACGGAGGAAGTAATGGGGACAGAGACACAGTCCAGCCAGCCCGGGGCGGGGGGGGACACAGCTGGGGCTCAGGTGGGAGGTCGTGGACAAGGCTGGCTGGGTCGTGGCAGAGCAGGGAGATGTGGCAAGATGTGACTTCAGCACTCGTCGAAGGCCACCTGGGACCCCCTCCAGCCCGGGACCCTCTGCGGTGGGGAGAAGAGCTGCCACCCCCAGGCCTAGCGCCCTGCTCCATCAGAGTTCGTCTGTCCAGGGCACTGGCGCCCGACCTCTGCGCTCCCGGCCCCCAGCAGGTTGAGTGGCAGGGAAGAGAAACCCAGCAGGCGACAGCTACTTCTGGGAGGAGGCGGCCGCCGAGCCGGCTTTCTGAGCCCTGGCCACCAGGGGGCGTCGTGGCTGCGAAATAATT